GATGAGTAATGCAGCAGGGCTGAATGACTTTTCACTGGCTGGCATGCAGGACAGCTTTGCCTTAACACGGTGCCGGTGCTGGTCATGGCTGTGTCCCTGAAAACCCATTTTGGAGTCTCCCTGCTTGTAGACAGTCTAGTTGCAACGGCTGTTCCTTAGGGAATGATGGGTGTTCTCAAACCCCCAAACACGGTGGCGATGCAGAGGGGGTGAATGGGGGTGTATGTGCACCTCGTGAGAACTCCGGTGCACCCCCTGACCCACCACGTTTGCCGCTTAGGCAATGGGCAGGGGGCTGGTGAGAGTGCTGGTCCCCTGCTGGAAGCGCCAGCTGATCTCTGCAGTTGCTCCCAGATGCGGCTGCAGCAAGTTTGAGAGGATCTTCAGGGAAACCCTGAAATAGAGAAGATGGAAGGATGGCCCCGGAGGGGCGGGCACAGAGCCGAGGAAGACTGAGGAAGGAAGCACTGGTGTAAACCTCCAGTGCCATTGTGTTCTCTCCCTGGACATGTAAAAATCCCAGGGCTGAAAACCATGTGGACAGAGTTTAAGCAGCTTTCTTTTGTTTTCCATGGCTGCATCAGTTCTCCTATAAGAACTTGTCTACATTGCCCAGGACAAAATGTCCTTTCCCAGGGTAGTAGAAGGACGTGTATCTGCAGGAAAAGAGTATTGGTGAGATGGGAGTCCCAGAAGGGTGGTCATTTCTAAAGGAAGTGATCCTTCGGGCATAGAAGGAGACTATCCCAGTACAAGGGAAAAGGGGTAAAGGAGCCAGAAAGCTCCTTTGGCTAAACAGGGAAATCCAGGGGAGCCTAAGGGCAAAAAAGAAAGCATATAGGTGGTGGAAGCAGGGGGAAGCTACCCGGAGGACTGGAAAAGGGCCAATGTGGTCCCTATTTTCAAGAAGGGGAGAAAGCAGGATCTGAGAAATTATCGGCCAGCCAGTGTCACCTGCATCCTTGGAAAAGTTTTTGAAAAGATTATGAAGGATCATATTTGTGGGAGTCCAGCGGGAAAAATAATGCAGCAAGGAAACCAGCATGGATTCATAGCAGGTAGATCATGCCTGACTAATCTGGTTTCATTTTATGACAGTGTCACAAAATGCTTAGACGCAGGAGTAGAGGTGAATATTGTTTTCTTGGACCTTAGCAAGGCCTTCTATATGGTATCTCATTCTATTCTCATAAATAAATTAAGAGGCTGTGACATAGATGTTTACACAGTCAGGTGGGTGGCAAATTGGCTTAGCGATTGCACCCAGAGTGGTAGTAGACAGGTCGGTATTGCCCTGGAAGGATGTGGGTAGTGGGGTCCCGCAGGGTTCGGTCCTTGGACCTGTACTCTTCAATGTCTTCATCATTGACTTGGATGTGGGCGTGAAGTGTACTCTGTCCAAGTCTGCGAACAATACTAAATTGTGGGGTGAAGTGCACACTCTGGAGGGTAGGGAACGATTGCAGGCAGACCTGGACAGGTTAGAAAAGTGGGCAGTACACAACAGTGTAGCAAACCCCCAGTTTTTCTTTTTTTTTATTTTGAAATATACTCCCTCCCCTTCCCCTAACCATTTCTGACTTTCTCTCTGCCCTCTCTATCCCTTATATGTGATTTACAAGTAATACTAGGTAAGCTAAGTTCTTATACTCCCACATAGTAATAAGCCCCTTTTTATATTGTAAATAGTGTCCTATTCTGTTTGTGTTGATTTTTGCTGTTTTATATAGTATTATATTGTGGTCCTATTATTTTTGTATTCATTTTTACTATTTTATATTGAATTTATATGATTTTAGGCCTATGTCTATAAAGTAATGTCAAGCCTCCAACTTGTGTCCGCTGCCCTATAAAATATGTTGCAACTATGACTCATACCTACCCCTCCAGTGTAAATTGGTTTTCCTTGAATTCCTGAAACAAAAGAGTGAATGGATGAGTTAAACACAATGAAAGTAGGACCCCCTACTAAATCACCTCAGCATCAAAACCAATACCTGGACCAATGACCCAGCCCTTGGAACCACCCTCTGCATTCAAGAAACAAAAGATGAGGCAACCCACCATTGTGCCAAGGTAGCACAGGCTCAGGATGAACATCTGGAACCTCTGGAGCAGGGCTGACCTTGCCTGGACATGCCCTCCCCATAGGAGATCATAGGTAGTCTGCCCCATAAAGAGGGGTAAGTGAAGACTGATTCCTTGGGGTGCCATCTTCACCTGGAGCAGGTCCATGCCAGGGGGCACGTGAGGGGGCCGAGCTGGAAAGGGACATGACCCTGGCGGACGGAGGGGCCGGCCGTGGTGGAGCGCAGCGTGGTGCATTGCCGCGGCAGCGTTCGTATCATCGCGCCGGCACCCCGGAGTTCCAGGCAGTTGCCGGCGGCAGTTGGAGCGGTGCTGACGGCCGCCCCGCGTCTGGGCAGGGACAGGTGAGCGGGACGTGGGGACGCTGCCCCTCTCCTGCCCCACCACCTCGGTGCACAAGGATCCCAGGGAGGAGGTGTCTTGCCACACTTGAATGTCCATGTGAGACTTCGCTGACACATGGGACCCAGCGCTGTCCTGGTCCTGGGCACCGGGTCCCAGGGACACCTCACCTGACTCAGTGGCAATGCGTAGAGAGTGCCAGTGCAGACCCTGGTTGGCCGCGCTCGCTGCTTAAGTGATGGGCAGGGGGGCAGGCGGGAGCACTAGTGCCCCCCCTGCAAGCAGTGACCGATCGCTGGAGCTGCTCCAGGAAGCAGCCGCAGCGATCGGCCGCAGGGGAACTCCCTCCAGGCAGCGAGATCAGCCACAGGGGGCACTCCCCCTCCCCAGGCAGTGAGGCTGGTCGCAGCCGATCTGGGCACCAGTTCCTCATGACCTGACTTGAGTACATTTCCACCAACTTCCCAGTCTCATGGGGCCTTGGGGTTTAGTGGAACTTCATTTTTCAGTTTTTACTCTGCAAAATGCCCCTTCCATCACAGTTTGAGAAAGGCCTGGACAACCGGCTGGTCCCTTTTTCTACTCCTTTTTTTACTTGCTTTTAAAGCCAGGAAAGAGGATCACCAAGCCGTGCTCAGCCTAGGTGACCCCCACAGAAAGTCTGTTTCCTTTTCCTTGGGCTGCAGAATCCAGGACTGGAGCTTTCCAGGCCTGTTTCAAAAAAAAACAGGACATCCACGTCTGCACCAGGCGAGGAGAACACCTTAAGCTACAGGGGTCACAGCTCCAAATTATAGAGTTTTTCGTAGAAAATCCTCCTCCTCTTTCCTCCACATTTTCACAACCTCAGCCTTGCCCCTGAGCATGTAGCCTGTTTCCATCATCTTGACCCACAGACGTGTTGCTCAGATTGGATCCTTCAGGATTCGTTTCCCTGTTTAAATCAGGCTCAGGGTGCTTAAGAATTTCATGCAAGCTTGTGAGACTTCATGGCACTTCTGGTTTCTCATAGCGATTGCCTGACAGCGGCTGGAGAAGGACAACAAAGCCAGTCCAGAGGAGGATTTGTCTTAGAGATCTCTCAGCTGAGGGGGAGCAGGTAAGGCTCGGGTAATTGGGCAAACCACCCTGAGGCTCACATCCTTGTGGAGGTGGCAAGGAAGCAAGGGTCTCTTCTGATTTCAGGCCCAGGTCCTGCAGGTCAGAAACAGGTAAAGACTAATTCTGCATCCACAGAAGACCTGCCTTAAGAGTAACGTTTCCTACCAGCTCCATATGTAGGAGGCACGAGCTGGGCACGGTCCAGAGGCAAAACTCTGAATAGGACAGGATAAGAAATGTTTGTGTTTTAACCTTCTGTGTTTCATATCTCTGATTCAGACCGTTTTTTTCTGAACTGTGAACCTGACGCCACCAAATGGTTCCTGATGCAGGGTCTCCTTCAGAGCCAGGATGGATCAGGCGTGGTGCACAGACAGTGTGGACAGGAACACTGGATGTCATTAGAGTAAATGTAGCAAGAGATATATTGATAATGCAGAGCAGGGGAATAGATCCTTTCCTGGGCATTCACAAGGATAAAGACCCCATTGGTACAAGACAGGCAGAGAGCAGCAGAGAGGGTCCAAACGTCTACCTCAAAGGACCAGGAGTTCAATTTGGTTTGGAGTGAAGGGCCAATATGGGCAAGTCAGGGAGTGACAAGTCTCCTGTGAGTGGGGAAACACCGAGGGAAAAGGGCATGAGTAAGGAGAAGTGCAAATTCTTGGAGGGGAAGGGGCTCTCCAAGGGGCTATGTTCAAACCACCCTAGTGATTTGATCCCATAGTCCCTTTTCACCTAGCGGACCTCACCCACACTGGCTACAGCTCCTAGGAGGCAGAGGAGGCTCCAGAGAAGAGCGGCAGGACCCCACCCTCAAGGGGATCACAGCACACCCGGAGGGTCTGTGAGCATCTGCCCAGCAGCGCTCCATCCCCCAGGGCAAGTGAGTGGCCTTCAGCGTGCCCCTGCCAGCTTCACATATTTGCAAATTTGGCTGGAGAATCAAAACCTCCACGTAGTGATGCAGCCCCGGGGACTCTCCAAGGCCACCTGCAGGTTGTTTGGAAAGATCCCCAAGGGTGGACTCCCAACTCCTCCACAGGCAGGAACTGCTCCCCAGGCTGAGTGGCTCTGGGAGCCTAAACCTGTGGTGCTGCTGAGCACCCACAGCTCTCATGCAAGGGGCTCCACATGTCATTGGTTTGGTGCTCCTGTGTCCCAGCAAGAGAGCACATCTGAGGGGAGGCCTGGACTCCCAGGTTTCAGTCCATCCCAGTCAGGAACAGGGAGGGGGATGTGGCAGGGCGAGGGAACTGCATGTCCAAACCAACTGAAGGTCTTTGTCCCTGACCACACAGCTCTCAAAGCCTGAGACCCCTGGAATCAAAGCTGCTAGGATGGGGAGGGAAAAGCTGAGTGAGCTGCCTGTCTCCTGGACAAGGGAGACTGGCCCAGGAGGGCAGACAGGTGGTTAGGGAGAAGATGCTTTGATGCCTGGCTCACGACTGCTCCTGCTCCCTGCCAGGATGGACAGGCTGAGGCAGATGCTGAAGAACAGGATGCCCAGGGTGTCCCCAGGGGAGGAGGACAGCAGCAGGAGGCCTGGGCTGAAAGAGGAGGCCCACCCAATTGGTGCAGTGAAAACAACCAAAACCAGGTGGTGGACATGCCTGCTGTGCTGGATAAGGAAACCTGCAGCTCCCATAACAAAGACCGAGGAGGGAGAGGAGCCCTCTCGGAAAGCAGGGAGGTGGCTCCAGCTCCGGCTGGGCAGGCGGAACCCACCACAGGAAGAGCACCAGGCAGGGCTGCCGTGCAGCTCTCCTCCCAGGGCACCCAGTCACCAGGAGCTGTGCCCTGAAACCAGGCCAGAGGAGGGGGACCCAGCTTCCCCGGGGCAGGAGGTCAGCAAGCCCCGCCCGAGCCCCAGCCTCAGCTCCAGCTCCTCCCGGGGAGACCTTGACAGCACTGTGGAGTCCGGGAGCAACTCACCATATGGCACCACCATAAAAGGTGAGGAGACAGCCTGGGTGCCAAAAATCTGGGGGCAATGCGCTCACTCAGACCAATCGATCCACCTCTGGCATTACGCAGTTGAATCCTAGCCAGGGCAAAAGGCCTGAGCCATACATCTCCAGTGATCCTTGTGTCATGGGCACTGTTCCCTGCAGCAGGGCACCATGGGAGTTGGCTTTGGGGGAACCATGGTCAGTACAGGGGCTGGCACCTGCCAGGGAAGCAGGGACAGTCTGGTCCCCCTGTCTTGGGGGCCATGAGGTTGAAAATGCAGAGGAGGTGCATGGGGAGGTGGTGTGTGAGACTTGTTCTGGAACAGGGCTCTAGGCTGCAGACGGAAGATGAAAGCATTTCTGCACCCCCTCCCCATGCCCCTTTACATGCTTCAAGTTGCAGCAGGAGTCACCCTCTCCCTTTTCCTCTCTTGTGAAGTGATTCCCTACTGGCCAGGCGAGGAGGTGGAGGAAGAGCAGGAGGGTGAAGACCTGATGCTGCTGGAGGAAGAAGCCCTCACAGATATCATACAGCACCTCCAGGGCCAAGGAAAGGTAGGAAAGTTCCCTAGGGGAACTGGCATCCAGACCACCCTTGACTACCACCATCCAGCCTTTGGGGGCAGACATACCGCATGAACCAAGGTCTCCCCAGTGGAGACACTCAGCCCACGGGCTCTGACACATCCACCTGTGTGCGCTGGTCTGACGGCCAGCCTCCCATCACAGAAGCTGCCTCTGCTTCTCACTCTGCTTCCCCAGCAGGAGACCAGTGCAAGGAAAGGGGGGCACCCAAGGGGTCTTAGTCCCACATTTGATTTGGCCAGGATGGGAAGGTCCCTGGCCAACACCCTGTCTTTCCTCCTATCCTGCTCCGGGGGGATGCAGGACAAGGAGCATGGAAAGCGCTTCCTTCTCGGCATCCCCGCACTCTGCAGAGCCACCAAGCAGAGGGGAGAGGACAACCTAGAGCCAGAGACCTGCAAAATGGTCCTACTACAAAAGATCATGGTGAGCTTGGCAAAGCACTGGGCACTGTCGGGACTGGGAGGGAGAAGAGACAGGGGCTCCCAAGGCCAGGAAGGCAGGGCGCACACAGGGGAGGGCAGGCATGCCCGGGCCTTGACGTGGGAGAGCAGGGAAGGAAAATTCTGGTCTAAAGCCATATAGGACAGTGAGCGAATCCTGCATCTGGAGGGCAGCCGAGGTGTGATCAGGGTGTGAGCGGCTGGCTCCAGGGGTGTGTGTGAGAGGAAGTTGGAAGGGGAGGGCTAGCCACGTTGGTTGTGTGGGTGCCAGGGAAATGTGCAAGGGGGCCTGTCATAGCGAGCAGGATCCACCTGCCTGTGCCTGGAGCACTGGGTGGTCTTTCCTGCAGGACAGGCCTGTGGGGCCCCAATCTCACATGGTCCTTTGGGTCTCCCAGGGCCTGATGGAAACAGTGACACAGGATGAAGAGCCAAATTGGACCCTGTGCAACAGCATAGCTGCCATCTGCAGCCTCAGGTACTGGTGCCCCTACCCAACACTTCCAGCCCTGATATTGGCTCTGGCATTGGTCGGAGTTCCTCGCCCACCCCACCCAAGTCACATGCCCCTGGTGGCCATCGCACATTTTTGCAAAAGAGCATGGGCATCACTTCCTTCTGCCTGGGGAGGCATTTCCCTCCAGGGGTGTCAGGAGGGCCTTGAAGAGAGGATAGCTGTGGGGTCTTGCAGGAGGGCAGCAGGGTCACAGGGGCAGTGGGAGAGGGGGCTCTATTGCAGCCCTGACGCTGATGGGCTTGGAGACTTCAGCTGGTTTGTAACCACCTGTCAGCTCCTGCTTCCACTGCTGCCAGTTGGTTCCAACTCCCCAGCCTGTGTCCAGCCCAGAGCAGTGTGCATGCCAGTCCACAGAGCTCAGTCTCACACTGGCTCCTCTCTCCTGACAGCGAGCTGAAGCCAGCCCTGGAGCCAGCCATGGAGTCGTGCCTGCTGCAGACCACCCTGAAGATCTGCCTGACGTCCCCAAAACAGAACAGCCTTTATGTCAGGGTCAGTCCTCCTCCCCCTACACAGTCCTGCCCACCAGCCCCTGGCAGGTGCAGCCCCGGGCTGCATGGTACTGAGCCTCAGTTATCCTTCCCCTCCAGACCAAACAGCAGAAGCACATGGAGGACCTGGAGGCCATGCTGAGGAGCCTGTTGGCCATCGCACCCAGCTTGGGCAGGCTGCAGTTCCTTTGGGAGATGAGCACAGTGCGGAGGAGCTGGGCTCTGGTGAGGGACAGCCTCAGTGTCCTGTGAGCTGCCCAAGGTTATCCTCAGAGATGCCCTGTCAGGAGAGAGAGAGGTCTGTCTTGAGGCATCTGTATTGTCTGTACCAGGCCTGGAGGGACAGCCTCAGTGTCCTGTGAGCTGCCCAAGGTTATCCTCAGAGATGCCCTGTCAGGAGAGAGAGAGGTCTGTCTTGAGGCATCTGTATTGTCTGTACCAGGCCTGGAGAGCTCTTGATGTGCATTGTCTGCACTAGGCCTGGAGAGCCCTTTTCAGACCCTCGGACCATGCAGGAAATCCTCCAACCTCCAAGATAGGCTCGAGGCAGAGGAAGGGCATGGGCTCGTGGGTACTGCATGGGCCAGTGGCCATTGACCTTGTTTCTCCCACAGCACCTGACATCCTGGCTGCAGTCTCCTGATGCCATAGACAGGGCGAAGGCCATGAGGAGCAGCAGCGCCCTTCTCCGCTTTGCTGTTTCTCTCCTCCCGCAGTTTGGGGTAAGGGGTCCCTGGGCTCAGGGGTGCCTCCTGGGTCTTTTGAGGCTGCCATGTGATCACCCTGCTCCAGGCAATGTCACATTTGGTCCTGGTCTTCCTGGAGCCGCAGGGCATGGAGACCTCCAGGGAACCAGCTCGGGTCCCTTGGCTCCAGGCTGTGATGGGAACAGAGGGCTTTAATGCTCTGGCTCTAGCTGTTTTGCCCTGACCTATCCTGTGGCATGGGGCAGCAGAAGGAGATGGACAGAGACACCCAGTCTGGGGAAGTGTGTGTGTGATGCAAGGTAGGACGCAGATGCATTCCCTTCCCCTATCCCCCTTGTTAGGACTCGCCCAACCTACCTCAGATGGGTGACACCGTGGCCCAGCTGTGTCTGTCCCTCAGCCACCCAGCAGCAGACCTCAGCTGCCAGGCCAGAGAGGGCATCTACCTGCTTGCCCAAATCCTGCTGCACCACAAGAGTAAGGAAGCCCGGCCAGGGTGCAAGACCCCTATGGAAACAATCCTTCTGCCCACGCACTGATCCCAGCTCGGGGACAAGAAGCTTCCCCTGCCAGTGTTTGCCCACACCCAGATTAGTGTGCAAATTAGGCTGCAACTGAACTCCAGCTAGCTTTGAGCATCAAGGACAATAAAAAGTCCTTTTTCAGATATGTGGGGAGCCGGAGGAAAAGCAGGGGCAACATTGGACCCCTGCTG